GGGGGGTGGGGGGTGAGGAGTGGGGGTTCTGTGGGGGTTCTGTGGGGGGTGGGGAGTGGGGGTTGGGGTCCGGTGGGATGGGGGTGTGCGGTCCAGGGGAGGGGGCAGGTCTGAGGTGGGAGACTGTCCTGGGCAGTGGTTGCGAGCCCGGGTCCCTGTGGGTCTTGTAGCCGCTCCCCTTGCCCTCGGCCCGGCTGAGTAGCCCAGGCCCCGCCGCTTACCGAACAGGTAGATGCTGGAGTTAAGCAGCTCGGACACGGACACCTTCCGCTCGTCCATCGACCACCAGCGCCCACCTCTCCGCGCTGATTGACAGCGCCATTGACCAATCATAACGCCGCCTCCGGGCCACCTGACCAATTAATGGGGCAGTTTGCATCTGGCCAATCAATAAGAGCGTGGACGGGGAGGGCGGGACACAAAGTTCGTGTTTACCGCATGATGTAACCAATAGACGATGAAGGCGGGGAGTCCATTCGATTGATGGCTGTATTATCCATTCAGCGTACGGAAAGGTCCGTCAATCAGAAGCGGGTCTTCTGGCTGATTGACAAGTTCCGTGTGCGAGGAGCGCCACCTCCTGGTCTGATGTTGTAATCGCTCTGAGCTGCCTAGACATTGCAAAGTGCAACAGAAGATTTGACTTGCCAAATTAACATCGTCCTATAATAAAAGATTAAATAGACCGTTTACTGGACTAAGGAGATTCATTGACCTGGAACTGATAATTCTGTTTCCTCTCTCCATAGATGCTACCAGACCTCCTGAGTTTCTCCAGCACTTTGTTTGCTTCAGATGTTCAGCCTCAGCAGTTCTTTGTTTTATTTGAATGTTCATCTCACTGAAACATACAGGGGTGAACTTGGCTAGATGCAGGAGGAATTTTTTTTAATTAATTTTTATTAATTCTTGATGGAATATACCAAGGCATGGCTGGTTAGCACAGCACTTATGGGTTCAAGTCCCACCTGCCCCAGAGGTGTGACATAACAGCCTTGATCAGGTTGATTTGAATTGTTTTTATTGCTATCTCTCATTGGCCTGGAGAAAGTGGTGGGGTGCGGCTAACTTGAACTACTCCAGTCCGTGTGATATAGAACTCACATTGCTGTTAGGAAGGGAGTTCCAGGATTTTGATTCAGATGGACTGAAGGAGCAGTGAAGCTCGAATGGTGGAGCAGACTTGATGGGCCAAATGGCCTAATTCTGCTCCTATATCTTTTGGTCTTATGCTGTTCCCATGTAGCTGCTGCCCTTATACTTCTAGGTGGTGCAGGCTGTGGGACTGGAAAATGCCAATGAAGGAGCCTTGGCGAGTTTCTGCAGTGCCCTTGGTATATCTGGTGTTACAGGGAGTGAAAGTTTGTGAATGTGGTGCTACTCAAGCAGTCTGTTTTGTCCTGAGCATTTTGATGCGCATAGGCAAGGGCTGCATCATCATCTGAAGAGGTGCAAGTTGGGCTAACTATTGTGCAAATGACCTTTTCTCTGACTTATGATGGAGGGAAGGTCATGATGAAACAGCTGATAATGATTGTGTCCAGGACACCATCCTGAGGAGCTGATGCACTGTTGTGGTGCAGTGCTAGTGTCCCTACCTCTGAGCATGATAACCTAAGTTCAAGTTCCACCTGCTCCAGAAATATGCTGTAATACATCTGAATAGGTTGCTTTTTGTTTTCTTTATTCATTTGTGGGATGAGGGCGTCACTGTCTACGCAGCATTTATTGCCCATTCCTAATTGCCCAGAGGGTAGTAAAGAATCAACCACATTGCTGTGGGTCTGGAGTCACATGTAGGCCAGACCAGGTAAGGATGGCAGTTTCCTTCCCTAAAGGACATTAGTGAACCAGATGGGTTTTTCCGACAATCGACAATGGATTCACAGTCATCATTAGATTCTTAATTCCAGGTAATTTATTGGATTCAAATTCCACCATCTGCCATGGCAGGATTTGAACCTGGATCCCCAGTCTGCAATTTTTAATGCCATGTGGTCTGTCCCACTCCATTTCTTTCTGTAAACTTTGTAACAACTGAGTGACTTGCTAGGCCATTTTAGAGAGCTGTTAAAAGCCTGAAGTTACATCTAAACCAGACCAGGTAAACACAACAGGTTTCCTTCCCTAAAGCACATTCAAGAATCAATAGGATCTTGATGACATGGTCTCTATTTGCTTTAATTTTCTTTTAATTCCAGATATTTATTGAACTCACGTTTCACTGTTATGAAATTTGAATCCATGTCCATTCAACCCATAAGACCTGGATAAGGCCGGTGTTCTGGGTGACCAGTCCAATCACATTACCGCTACATCATCACCTTCCCCTCCTCAACATGATTAGAAACATTGGCCCAATTACCCCTCTACAAGTACCCAGCTCATTATTCATGCACCACCCCCACCCACATACTGCCCACCCACCAACCTCCACCTACCTCATACACCTACCCATTCATCCCATCACTCATATACCCATTCACTCACTCAGCTGCTGATCAAGCCATTAACATTCTTTCACTAACATTCACAGTGGATTATTGGGTCCTCTGGTAGCACAGAGGTAAATCCCTATCCCTGATCCAAGAGGCCTCGGTTCAAGTCCCACCTGCTCTAGAAGTGTGTAATAACATCTCTGAACATGTTAATTAGCAAAGTAGGTCAAAGTAGGCATTAAACTTACTGTGCATCTGCTGGGGAGGTGATGGATAGTGGTATTATGACTGAACTATTAATCCAGAGATTTAGATAATATTCTAAGGAACCCATGTTCAAATCCTGCTATGGTGGAATTTGAATTCAATTTTTAAAATATCCTGGAATTAAGAGTCTAATGATGACCATGAAACTGTTGTCAGTTCTCAGATAAAACCCAAATGATTCCCTGATGTCCTTTTAGGGAAGGAAATCTGCCATCCTTACCTGGTATGGCCTATACGTGACTCCTGACCCACAGCAATGTGTCGGAGTTGGGCCAGGGGAGTGTCTGACAGTGGCAATCCAACTAGCACTGCCCCATCCTGGAAGATTTGAGCCAATGTCTTGAGATCTCCTGCGACTACCCATTCAAACGACAACTCCTCAGTGTGTCAGCCTAGATATTGGCACTCAAATAAATCCCCACATTTCTGGCTCAGAGACAAGAATGTTACCAGCTGAGCTAAGGCCTTCAACAAAGTGCTACACAGGAGGCTCATATAGAAAATGAAGGCCATGGAACTCAATGACTGACTAGTTCAGTGACAGGAAGCAAAAGATATCAGTGAATATGTGATTTTCCACTTGTGAGCTGACTTGTCCTGTTGTCTGCAGGGATCAGTTTCGTGTTCAAGAATCTTTGGTTTCCTTTTAGGAGCAACTTATAGTGAAATGTCAGGGACAGCTTTACAAAGTTATAACGCTTATAAAGTTATAACATTTTGGCAGTATTGTAGAAAGTCCTTGCCTGAGATTGTAATCCATTGGAAATCCATTGCAACGCCAGAATTAGAATAAAAAATTGGATTAGAAACCTTTGGGAAACAAGCTGAAATTTATCTGTAAATAGATTGGACATCAAAGGGAGTTTAATCCGGACAAACGCAAGGTGATGCATTTTGGAAGATCAAATTCAAATGTGAATTATACAATAAATGGCAGAATCCATAGGAGCATTGATATAGAGGGATCTGGGCATACAGGTCCACAGATCCCTACAAGTAACAACACAGGTGGATAAGCTGGTCAAGAAGGCATACAGCACACTTGCCTACATCGGCCTGGACATCAAACATAAAAGTTAGTAAGTTATGTTACAGCCGTACAAAGCATTAGGCCACATTTGAAATATTACATGCAGTTCTGGTCACCACACTACCAGAAGGACGTAGATGCTTTGGAGAGGGCGCAGAGAAATTTTACCAGAATGTTGCCTGGCCCGGAGGGTTTTAGTTATGAGGAGAGGTTGGACAAACTTGGATTGTTTTCACTGGAAAGACAGAGGCTGAGGGGCGACTTGATAGAGGCCTAGAAAATTATGAGAGGAACAGATAAGGTGGATAGGCAGAGGCTTTTTCCCCAGGGTGGATAGGTCAATTAGAAGAGGGCACAGGTTCAAGGTGAGAGGGGAAAGTTTAGAGGAGAAGTGTAGGGAAAATGTTTCACTCAGAGAGTGCTGGGTGCCTGGGATATGCTGCCAGTGGAGGTGGTGGAAGCAGACGTGTTAGCAAAGTTTAAGGTGTATCTTGATAGATGCGTGAACTGGAGGAAAACAGAGGGAGAGAAACCTCCCATGAGCAATAAGTAGCAGTTTAAATAAGGACTAGGAATCAGCGCAGGCTTGATGGGCCAAAGGGCCTGTTTCAGTGCTACATTTTATTGTGTTGTGTTGTCAAGGAGAATTAACCAGATGCAATGGTAAAAAGGCAGCTCACCAGCTCACCACCACTTCTCAAGGGTGAGTAGGGATGGACAATAAATGTTAGCTTAACTAGCGAATCCTTCATCCTGTGAGAGGATCATGAAAAAAAATTGTTACAATGAACTGGAGATCAAATCGTTTAAGCTTATTTTTTCCATACAGGCCATTAATTACAACAGCAATGTTTAATGCACAAATAATTGTCAGCCAAAGTTAATAAACCTGTTGGACTGTAACCTTCTGTCTTTGGGTTAAAGTTGTAATGTATGTAGTTCCTCTATGACAGTATGCCTAGACCCCAGCTGAGGTTGGCCACAATCTCAATGAATGGTAGGGCAAGTAAAGTCATCATAGTCCCAGAGAAACTCTCCGTTATTAGAGAGAGATAACCTGTGACCATGCTTAACCTGAGGGTCACCATGCTTTAGGTGAGATTGAGAAGGTGGGACCTTCATGATGACCTCAGCTGGGACAGGAATTGAATCCACTCTCCATTGTTGGTGCTACTGTGCATCACTAGCCAGCAAATTGAACCGACTGATCCTACTTACGTTAATATGTCACTACTACGCAACATATTCTTCTTTGTGCACTGTTGCTGGGTCAAAATCCTGGAATTTCCTCCGTAACAGCATTGTGGGTCAACCTGGAGCACATGGACCACAATGGTTCAAGAAGGCAGCTCATCACCAACTTCTCAAGGGCAGCTAGGGATGGGCAATAGACTAACCCTAATCCAGTCAGTGATATCCCATAAGTGAACAACAAAAAAGAAATAGAAGGAGAAACAAGTCCACATCAAGTCTCTGGAGAGCATCCCAGCCAGAATCACCCCAACCCTGCATTTCCCATGTCTAATCCACCTAACCTCCACGTCCTTGGACACTACAGGCAATTTAGCATGGCCAATCCACCTAAACCTACACATCTTTGGACTGTGGGAGGAAACCAGA